GTTTCCTAAAGTTTCCAGTCTCAGGGCTCTAGTCCTGTCACCTCCCTTTGAAACAACAGAATCAAGCCCACTCCATGCTTCTGTCCTCCTGTTTGAAGCATTTGAAGTCTGCTGTCAAGCCCCTCTTCTCTTCTCCAAGCCAAATATTCCAGTATTTTCAACCATAGCTCTTAATTCTTGATTCCCAGATCCTGCTCTGTCCTAGCTCTCCTAATATGAATGTGCTCCAATTTGTCTAGATGCATCTTCAAATGCGGTGCTCAAGACTGAGCATAAGACCAGTGATTCACTGCATGAAGTAGCCACATGTGAAACCAAAGGTGTTGATGTTTAGCCTTGATGGCTTCTGATCACCGACCAGTTTTCTATGTGTAGTGATTGTGCTAGATTTGAAGGTCATGTGAATCCATCTAAACCATGAAGGGGTCCACTCCAGGCTGTAGTCTGAGACAAAGGCACCCTCACCATTCATGCCACCTCCAGAATCCAACAGCACTGACAGCTGGATCTTATTTCAACACTGGCTGTGCCAAAATGACATGGTTAACTTAACCATAGATCCCAGAAAGTGAGCTGCCATTTCCAGATGTTTTCCCCTGAACTCTAGTACATATTTACACTAATTCCCTGGAAAATAATCTGAAAAGTTGCATACAGTATTTGTGGGAAATCAGAAGAGCCCTGCTAGATCAGTCCCATGGACCCATCTGATTTAGGGTTTTGTTTTCCAAAGTAACCATCCTCTTTAGGAAGTTTAGAAGCAGGCATGGAGGCAACAATCTTTTCCTGCCCTTGTCCATAACACTCTGAATTTGGAGCATCATCTCTAAATGTGGCTCCATTTAGATTTCATTATTTCATCATGGTTGATGGCTACTGGCAGAGCAATCGTCAATGAATTTGTTGGGACTGAGCCAGTGGTGATAATCACATCTCCTGGCAGTAAATTCCATAAGTTGTGTGTTATGGGAGGAAGAATTTGCATTAGTTTGTTCTGAATCTGTTATTTATCCCCCCTCCCCCCACCTTGGAGTTTTAATGTTGTAGGAGAGGGGCAGTAGAGGGAGAGAGAGGAAAGTGCTTCACTTTTTCCGCACCATCAATAATCTAGGCCAGCTCTAGGCAGAGGAGCAAACTAAGAGTAAGCCTCTGCTGCTATCCCACCATCTGGAGAAGACATTCCATTGCAACTAAGAAGTGTATCTTTCAGAGTGCCTGCCCCTGTGATCACCCAATAAGAGTCGTACACAGGGTTGTGCTAGATTCTCTGGGCTGCCGCTGTTTAAAGCCTGCTCTATCTTCAAGTATACTTGTCTTGTTCCATTTGATCCATACAAATGGATCATTGAACAAATCAATCCAGAGTTTTCACCTGAGGCACAAATGACCAGGCTCAAATTATCCTACTTTGGACACATTATGTGAAGACCCAGCTCTCTTGGGAAGTCTATAATGCTGGGGAAAGTGGAAGGAGAGAAAAGAAGAGGATGACCAGCAGCAAGGTGGGTAGACTCAGTTACAACAGCGATGGGTGCACTGTTGGTAGACTTGAAGGACCAGGTTGGGGACAGATCCTCCTGGACAAGGTCTATCTATGTGGCTGCTAAGAGTCAACACTGACTAGCTGGCACACAATCGATCAAACAATCAATACTTGTTGGGAATCCACATTGTTACAGCTAAGAGGACTGACTCCCCAGTCCTGAAGTCTCCATCAGGATGAGTACATTATCTCAGTCCTCAGATCCCACTCACGATGCCCCTCCCAGATGTAGCTCCTTTTATGTAGAGTAATACCATTTCTGCATTGCTGTCCAGCTTTGTAATGAACTAATTGACTTTGGGATTAGCATTATGGGATTTGCGCAGTATTACCAGAAGTGCTGCACTTTATCAATCAATAATGCCTCATCAATCTTATTAGTATACGATAGTTGTCCTCCTTCAATAACTGATGCACAATAAAACAACTGTAAAGCTTTTCAGGAGCTTGATCTCTTGAGCAATAGGAAATCTTACATTTGTATCATCAGTGCTTCAATGAATGTGTATAATTTTACATTTCCCTTGCTCCATTTCATCATGCTAGCTGCCCACAACACATCCATTGATTGGAAATATTAGATTTCCTTTTTGTCTGTCTTCTAAAATATTTGCATTCTTTCCCAGCTGGGAACTCTTTCCTAGCACTCTTTCCACAAGCCATTTATGAAGCACTGAACGGCATCAGAATCAGCCCTTCTCCCTGCAGAATTCCACTCTCATTTAGAATAGATTGCTTTATTGTTACACTTTGCTCTTATAAATCAGTGTCTTGCGTGTCATTTCTGGTAGTTGCTTCTTACGGATCTATTACACCTGTAATGTGTTGGGCAAAGTCAAAAGACTAGCTGGGTGTCCCCACCCACTCCCTTCCCCTATTTTAAACTAGCTTTAAGGTGAAAAGTAGTTTAGTCTGGCATGAATCATTTGCGCTTAATAAAACCATGCTGGCTGCTGGTAATTTCTCCATTTTCTTTAAGTGCTGATACATTAAGGCTGCAGCCCAGCTCCATCAAAATCAATAGGAGTGCTGCCGTTGGATATGGATTGCACCCTAATTCTATTTTCAGTTCCACTAAATATATTCCAAGGTACAGAAGCTGGGCTACCAGAGCTATAATTTTCTAGGTTTCTGACCTTCTTCTTCTTCTTTTTTTTTTTAAATCTCCTGGCTCAGTATTTGTCCTCCAGCTTCTAGGGATGTGCCAATTCCTCATGCGTTCCCCAAGAAATAGAGCCTTCATTACATCTAATTCCCATAAGCTTCCCATTTTACCTGCTTTCTCTTTTCCCTTTCCTTTTTCTCCTCCCCTTCCCCCTTCCCCCCTTTTCTCTTGTTAGCCCTTTGGAGTACCAAAACCATGAGTACTAACACTACTTTTATTGTAAGGTTACAATAACAGTATCTTGCAAGTCTGAAAGCCCTTCTCCCCTCCTTTACTTTTATTTTCCAGGGAACCAGGGAGGCTCCCTTCTGAAATACTTCCCATGTCCCCATTCCTTCTGTGGGCTGAGACGTTTCTTATCTGACCATGGCCCTGGCTGTGGCTCTTCATCCTCTTGTCTCTCAAGGATATTCCCACAGACCATTGCATCTCTTCCCTTTCCCCTGCCATTAAGATTTCTCCTAATTAGGTTTCCATATCTGCACTGCAAAAACCTGGACAACCATTAGATAGCAGCAAAGAGATAGAAAATAAGGTGATAACTCTCTGTTACTGTAGAGGGAAGCGGAAATGGCCTTGAAGGACAGGAGGAAGTGCTGCTACCAAGGCAACAGTTAGATAAACAGGGCTTGAGCCTGGGCCAAGAAAGTAACTTGAGAAAATGTCTCGGACAGGATCCTCCTAGTTCACACAAAGATAAAGGGAGGGAGGGGGAAGCACATTCAGACTTGCAAGATTCTGTTTCTATAGCTGTTACAATAAATCTAGTCCTGACCTATATGCCACTGGTTTCTTAGTCTGGTCTACCTTGTAGGACTGAGTGTTACCAACCTAATGATTGCCCAGATTTTTGCATCTGGGATATGGTAATCCTTTCTAATAATCAAAGAGCCCAGTTGGTCTAATGGTTAAGACACCAGGCTAGAAACTGGGAAACCGTGAGTTCTAGCTCCTTCTTAGGCATGAAGCCAGCTGGATGACTTTGGGCCAGTCACTCTCTCTCAGCCCTGGGAAGAAGTCAAGGGCAAGCCCTTTCCAGAAATGTAGCCAAGAAAACTGCAGGGACTAGTGTAAGAAGTCTCCAGGAGTCAAGATTGACAGGAAGCCCCCCCCCCCCAAATCTATAATCAAGTTCTATTCAGTCGTAATTACTATAGAGATCTCACTTCCCTAAAACACTAGGATAACTGAAAAGAAACCTGATGTTATGGATTGAGGAGAGAAGGGATCATTCCCCACCCCAAAAGAATTACTGACAAGCCATCAACCCAGGCAACTTCTTGGTTGGATTCTATATTATCCAGGCTTGGGAAAATATTGGAGCTGTTGACAAGGCTTTTCCCCTTCAGTTGACCTCTAAGGGAAAATATAAAAATTAAAAAGAATGGCACACACTTCCCGCCCCCACCCCAAACCTTCAGAAATACAGACTAAGAAAACCCTTGTGAAAATCCTAAGAATACAAGAGGCAGTTTTGTAACCATTGAGTGTCGTGCGAAGGTGCCATTTTAATGAGAAGAATCCCTTTTGAAGAAAGTAAAATCACCAGATATACAAAGGAGAATATTTATAGGGCAAGATCAAGGGATGACCACAACCATGCACATGGATCTCCAAATAAAATCAATAAGTTCAGTGAGACTTAGAGTCCTTCCACACAAAGTCCCTGCAACAGATTGAAACCAGATTCAGTCCTGTGAGATGGCCTGAACTGGCTAGTTCTGAGGGCTGAGTCAGTTTTCTGTTTTTGTTTTTTCTGACTGTAGTGCAGTTTAGGAAAACCGGAACAAAGCTGGTGTTTTCTTTGTCCTGTGGTGGCTCTGCTAAGCTTGCAGCCAGCCCATTTCCCCAGCAGACAGGAGTCTTGAGTTCCTGTCTTCTGACCCCTCTCCCCATCACCAGTATGTTAACCTCCCACTTTCAGGACTTTTAAATACAGTGAAGGAATCAATAGAAGAGAAGATCTGTAGCTCAGGATTGAAGTGTGGAGTCCTGGGGGTTCTCTGAGCTTGGTTGTTTTCTTGCAGATGTTTCGTTACTCGTTACATCTGCAGGAAAACAACCAAGCTCAGAGAACCCCAAGGACTCCACAGTGAAGGCATGCTGGCGATTTTTTCCCTTTCCTTTTCCAATAACAGAAGAGGCGGTAGGTGGGTAAGCTAGTAATTTATGGTATGAAGAGGAGAGCATGAAGAGGAGAGAGAAGGGAGGTTTGTTATTCTAAGACCCATGGTGGCTTAGGGGGCAACTGAATAGCATTTTTTCCTCTTTTTGCATTATCCTATTGATCAAGAAAGGAGAGCATGGAATGGCTTATGAACGTGATCAGCCTTTTGAGACCAGCAGAAGTGAAGATAATGCAGGTCAGTTTAAAACTGTTTTGTAAGAGTTTGGGATTGGACACACTGAAATATGCAAGTGCTCTTAATCTCATTTTTGCTTACCTAAGCAAGATCTTGGATTCTGGATGCCATTTGAAAGACTCCGCTGGGAGCAAAGTCTCACATTTTATGAAAATCTGCTTTCAGTAAAAGCCAGTCTTCATGAACTACATTTCTGGTGTCAAGAGTTTAGTTAGCAAATTAGAAAATTAGCAAGAATCTGGTGGACCTTCTTAATAATTTCAGATGTATATCTCAAAGCCAAGAGTTTCTACTAAAAAAGGCGCTTTGTGGAAGTTCCTTGATAGATACTTGGGAACAAAAAGGAAACTTTGGTCTGTCTAGGAGAACCTCTTATTATAAGCAAGATCAAAATATTGGGTTTGTCATATCCCTTGTTTTCTTTTCCAACCCCTAAGTTCAATTTAAAAAATCATTATAATGCCTATGGAATGCAACAACTTTGGAAGCAGGGGAGTTGATCTCCTTATTCATTTATTGCAAAAATGGCAAAGGGACACCAAGAAAGAGCTTCATTTTATTTCATCAGAAGGAGGAAATTCTCATTTAAATGAATGCGTGTAACATTGTACAGCGGCTGGACAAGGATCCTCTTGTTACGTTGATTCCTATACTGCTGATTAACCAGGGTAGTTTACTGATCTCCCTTGGTGGCACGTTCCATGATAGTTGGAGATCTCTCTTCAAGGTTGGAAGGGGACAGACAGCTATTCAACTTTGGCCAGAGGACTATAGCTCTTGTTTTGCATGCAGGAAATCCACGCTGACAATCTGATTATGTCAAGAGGTTTTGCTTCTTCTGCCTTCTGGCCATGCATCGTCTATTCTGACTGAGACTGGAAACAATGGATTTTTCTCTCTGTGAGCAAGGGAGGGAGTGTCTTGCTCCATGCAAGGGAAGGAAGAGAGCAATGGCTCCTTGCCTCTTCCTTCATACTGAGAAGATTGAAGGAACAGAAGGGAGGTTTTGTGGAGTTGAGGTCCTTCACATGAGACCCTAGGGGCCAGGTACCTAGTAGACCCCATTTGGCTTGTGGCTGGAGGTGGCCCTTACCTGAAACAGAGAGTAATATGAATGAATTCTGCTTTCAACCCTGAAGATTCATATGAGATCATACAGGGATAGGTGGGCACATGGATAGCTTCCAAATTTTTAGAGTTCTTGCTGAAGGTGATTTCCCTTCATCTGAAGAGCTGTCTGAAGAAACCACAGCTAAGATGAACAGAGAATGGAAACTTTGTAGCATGAATAAGCTGAGAGACCAGAAATGGGTCTCTTTTTCTCTTGCATGCATTTCTTTAAAAAAAAAAAAAAAGCAACATTAGGAAAAAAAAATCTTCATTTTCTAGTGAATCTCATCTCGAGGCAGTCAGTCCAGCAGAAATGCCTCTTGACCATCTCACCACATGATCAAGGGAGTGTAATTCCCTTCCATTACCCCCTAAGATCTTCAGGCATCTGAAAAGTCAGTCCCTTACATTTACTTATCATTACGATGGTACTTGACCCTTGGGTGTTTTTACTGCAATACCTGAAATTATTATACTCACTATCTTAGGACCCCACTTTTTATTTTATGGAACTGGGGAGCAATATGTATTGGGACCCACCGATTTAATTCTCTCAACAATCCTATAAGGTGGGTTGTGATGACAAATCAAGTTCCCCGGCTTACCAGTTTCATGGTTCAGAAGGGACTTGAACTCAGGCCCTCCTACAGCAAGCCTAGCACCTCAAATACTGTACTATTTTAATTTGCATTCTAAAAAAAACACTCAATGTCCAAATAGACTGAAACCAAAGATGTCTCTGGCACTGGTTTTCTGCTGAAGATAGAGATGCAGAAGGACGATGTTGTGGCCACAGTCTAGAGCCCCATAACTGGGGGAGAATCACCCAGAGAACCATGATAAATGTTCCCAGCAACAGATCTGGCTTGAAACAGACCACTAATCACTGCAACATCACTGATGTCTTTGTATATTTTAAAACATATTGTAGTACATTGGTACCTCGGGATACGAACTTAATGCGTTCCGTGACTCTGGGCGTATCCCGAGTTGGTCGTAACCTGACGTAAATTTCCCCATAAGGTTCAATGTAATTACCGTTAATCCGTTCTGGCGTCTGCGGACCACGCGTCAGGGGTGGGAGAATGGCCGGGTGCGGCGCGGTGGGAAAAAGGCTGGGCATGGCGCGGCACGGCGCGGCGTGGTGCGGTGGGAGAATGGCTGGGCGCGGCGCGGAGTGGCAGGAGAACGGCCGCGGACCACGTGTCAGGGGTGGAAAAATGGCTGCGGACCACGTGTCAGGGCGGAAAAATGACCGTACCCTGAGGCGGAGTTCGCACATCAAGGTAAGTTTGTGCAGCCGGAGCTGGTTGTAACCCGAAAAGTTCATTAGTAGAGGCGTTCATATCCCGAGGTACCACTGTATTAAGTGCTGGCTGGCCAAGAAATCCCCTTATGCTGATCTATGACTGTAATAAAGTTTTTATTTGCTTTGAGATCATCTCCTTTTTTAAAAAAATAATAAAACAGGTTGCCTTCACTTATTCATGTAATCATGACAGTGCTAGGATTTAAATGAGCTTCAAATTCAAGACTAAATGGGATCAGAATATTGTGTCTTGCCTTTATTAAATTGGGCTTAGCAAACAGGTGTTGTTTTCGTATGAGTCTCCTTGGCTGTTGTTTTTTGTTTCTACTCTATCATACGAGGAACGTAGAAGCAATTTGGCAACAGTGGCAGGGAACATGCCAGGTTAGTAACCGCTTCTCACCTGAAGCAACATACCTGCCCATTTAAAGGATGGGCAGGAAACCCTTAAATGGGGGGCAAAGGTTACCCAGCTGCATTTCCAGCAGCAGATCACATGCTTCCCACCACTTCATTTCATGGGTGTAAAGAAGGATTTGTAATGCCCAGAGCTGGAAGTTTGTCCCTGTGCCATACCTTTACTCTTGCTCATTGCTCCTGCAGCAGGAAGGGCTAGAGAGCGTTATGGCCCACCGCTAAGAAAGCTTCATCTCCTAATGGAGATTGTGCAGTACTGTAATTATTACTCAGTTCAGTTTTCTTTTGTTGTTTGAGCCATTAGGCACGACAAGCGCTTATTACAGACTAGCTGCATGCGCGTTCAGAGGACCGCCGTCTTCCATCACCTCGTTGTTAAAAGTTAAAACATTCGATTGCAGAGTATCTGGAAAACCTGTCGCTATGGGGCAGGCAGGGGGGCCAATAACGGGGTGGGACCCGCACAATCCAGTTCACAAAGCACTGCTAAGATTCCCGGGAAGCGCTTTCCTTTTTCACCCTGGCTCTCTGGGCTACTGATTTTTCAGGGTTACAGAGAAGGAGACGATTTGGCAAACATTGGGGTGGATCCGGGGACTGGGTTTATGGGCTTCAGGAAGGTCCTCCTACCATTTTCTAAAGAATCAATGCACAACCACAAATGATTTTCTGCTAGAAGCTAATCAAGTGCATATAAAACAGACAATCATGCCTGGTAGGAAACTACGACAGTTTCTTTGCTGCAAAACCAAACATGGAGATACACAGACTTATGAGACGTCTGTGCATGTGCAGTTCAAGATTAGAGTCCGTGGATCTAATGAAGTTGGCTTCAGTCCACCAAAGCACACGCCATAACAAATTTGTTCTGCAAAGCTGGTTTTCAGTGGCACAAGCAAGTATTATCTTTGCAGATATGGAGGGACCCAAGAGGAACTTTCTCCACCATCTTAAAAATAATTAAGATGATCAGGTTCATGCAATATGTTAATGTGGTTTGGGTTTAGTGTGCTTTGTATCCAGGCATTTTAGTTCGTTAATCATGTTTTTTTTTATGTATGAACCTAGTTATTGTGGCTTATCCAACCAACGATGGAAAAGACAGACTATGGCTTAGAAAGTTGTACAAACTGAGCACTGATTATGCGGCCCATCTACTTCAGTAAATTTTGGAGACAGCCTTCTTGACCTTGATGGGCTCCTATGTATTGAATTACAACTCTGATCATCTATATTCAGTATGTCTAGTGTCATATTGGGAAGAAATGCCAGGTTTTATGGACTGCCATACCTAGAAGGAGCCAGGATACAATGTATGCTATGTCTGCTTAAGCTTCCTAAGGCTTAAGAGGAATGGATGTTTCCTTTGTTTCACTGACAGCATAGAGATTCTCTAACGATGACAGAAATCAGGGTTAAAAACCAAACACCTTCGGTATGCAGAGCGAATGCTCCACCACTGAGCCATGGCATTTCTAAAGTGCATTAGTTATTGGAAGAACAGAACTGTGGCTATGATCTATACTTCCAAATTACTTCTACCCTTAAGAGACCTTTTCCTCACTGTCCCTGAGCAAAGGTAGCTTACAACACTAATATTAAGTAACTACAGCCTGCATGACAAGAACTGAAACTGAATCTCACATATGCTTGCTTCAGAATACATTCCCTTGATTTCAGTCGGATGTTCTTCCAAGTAAGCATAGGAATTTTGATTCTTGTGACTAAACTACGCTCATAGCTTATCTTCTACCTAGGATTCCAGGTAGATCTTGGAGAGATTTTGAAGACCATTACGTCCATCCCATTGGGATGATTGTAGCGGTCTTTGATGGATGGCAACCCAACGTCTGCTTAAATACTTCTAGTAAAAGATGCACACCATATCCCAAGTGGTCTGTTCTTCTAAGGAGAATATACACTAAAAGAAAGTACTGAAACATGCTTATTTAATAGTAGCAATAATGAAAAATGTGCACCCCCCCTATTTTTACCTAAACGAGGCTGCTAAAATCACACCAAGTGGAAACCAGGAGTAGGCGTTCCACTGAGAAGATAAAGCTTACATTGTTTTACTGAAAACAAGTTCCTAGCTCAGGGCATTCCCACACAGCCATTGTTTTCACTCACCAGCCCCACAGAAACCAATTCCTATTGATTTGAAATTGTTCCCAAAATTGTCATGCTGAGCTATGAATGAATCAGCCAACTAGTCAGTAGGGCAGTGTTTCTCAACCTTGGCAACTTTAAGATGCACGGACTTCAACTCCCAGAATTCCCCAGCCAGCTGGCTGGGGAATTCTGGGAGTAGAAGTCTGTGCATCTTAAAGTTGCTAAGGTTGAGAAACACTGCAGTAGGGGAACAACAAAAATGGTGGGAAATAATAATAACAATAATAACAATTGCAATAGTTGCATGTAAGAAATTTTCATGAACAGAAATGTTTCTGTTTCTGTCTTCACTGACTTCTCTTCAATTTTGCTCCCACAATTATCCATGCACAGATATGGATGTTCAAAATTCACTATATTTCAAATACAGAGGAGGGAGCAAGCTAGTTGTGGAGTAATGTGGAATTTCCCATTCCTTTTCCATTCTTGTTCCACAAGTTGATTCATATTAAAAGTGAACAGAGAAGGAGAAGCAAGGAGGCAAAATATTGGCAACAAGGATTTTACTGTTCCCAAATTTGCTTGGTATTCTATTGCTGAGATTTGATATCCCTTCCCTGAGATTCAGCATCCCCATATTATCCTTCCAATCTTTCAGCCTGCATCTGGGTTTTCCCCCTCCAGTGACCCAGAAGTACCACACACATTTGCATGGCTTAAAATGCCTACGCAAACAACAGAGAGCTGAGCAAAGAGTTGGTAATAGGTGCCTTGGGTGCAATCCCCAAACATCTGGAGCACCACTTGAACACCATTGGCATGGACAAAATCACCATCAGTCAATTGCAAAAGACGGTTTACTTGGAACAGCTTCCATCCTGCAACGATCCCTTTAACACCATCAAACAAACCTGAACCCCAGTTATGTGATAGGACTTCCCATACTTTTCCTTTTAAGATACTAGCACAAGTTTTATTGTTAGTCAGGACAGCCTTAATAAAAGTCATTTATATTGCCCATTTGTGTGTGACTTGATAGCCAGAAAATGTATATAGTGCTCACATCTATATGCTGAAGGATGATCAAAGACCACAATTGATGGGCAGTAGGTAGGCAAACCTGCTTCAGTTAATTTTCTGCAATTTCCCCACACCGAGATGAAACTATAGTCTGTCTGCAAGAGTGAAGAGAGAGGGAGAGACCACTTGAAGTTGTTAGGTTTAAATTTTTGTTAAAATCTGAATGAGGAGCAGTCATGCTGTTGTTTCAATAGCAGTTCACACTGCAGAAAGCTGTTGGTCTCTGGAGATGATGCTTGTACTGGCTTAATAATGATGCTGGAGCATAAGGCAATCCATCTGTGCTGCTGCCTAGAGATGGATTTCTATAGACAGGCCTGGAAGAATGATAGAAGCCTTCACGGGCCCAGTTGCATATATACTTGGCATATGTGCGTGCCAACTGCATCTTTAATAACATCCCTGATCTCTCTCCCATGTGCTAATTAATGACAGGAATTGGTCCCTCAGAGTAGAGATCATCCCATGTAAACAGGGATAAAGGTCCAGCAGAAAGTTTTGAAAGGTAGTTAAGACCTGGCTGATTCCCCAGGTGCCTGAATCAAAATGAGGAGAGCTTCCAATTGGTGAGATATAGTTTTTTTTAGTTCTGATCATTATTTAATTGTTTCAGTTGGTTTTAATGGCACATGTCAACTTTTCTTGCATTTTTCCTTGATGGTTTTTTGGCATGCCACCAGAGTCATGTGGTTTAAATTGGGTGGCCTTATAAATATTACAAAGAAAGAAAGAAAGAAAGAAACTGGAGTTGAGTAGCTGTCTCTTCAGAAGACAGTCCTCTGTTTGAAAGGATACCAAATCCCATGAAAGACTCTAAGAACACAGAAGGGAGGCCTTGAAGTTGCTGATCCACAGAAGGTAACTAGATCTGGGATCTCCAAAGTAATGTCCTTAGAC